TGAATTTTGCTTCTCGAACCATTGTGCCAGAACTGAGACCATTTTAACATTGATGTTTATAACCAGTATGTATTGACTTATCCATGTTATGTTATTTTCCTGTTGTTATGCTTCCTGTTGTTGGCTCCCTTTTTCTTCCCTCTGTTAATTGCTTGCTTTGCCTGGTAGATTCATTCTCATGAGGTTCCTGTAGTTACAGGTCTTGTTATCTCTTTCCAGAATGACCTTCAGAACATTTTGAGGGTTGGTTCGGGGGCTGTGAATTTCTTCAGGTGTTCTTTGTTATAGAAGTATCTAACTTCTTCATCAATTTTGAAAGAGAGTTTTGTGGGGATACATCAATCTGGGTTGGAGGTTGTTTTCTTTGAGGGCTTGAAATATTTCACTCCAAGCTTTCCTTGACTTGAAGATTTGTGTTGAGAAGGCTACCATGATTTTGATGGGTTTTCCTTTATAGATAATGTTTCTTTTCTGTAACAGTTTTCAATATTCTGTTGTTATGCTGAATTCTGGTATCTTGAGCACTATATGCCTTGGCATAGATTTTTTTGATCATGGCTAATTGGTATCTATACACCTCACTTATCTGTATGTGAAACTCCTTATCTCTGTTTGGGAAGTTTTCTGCCATTACTTTGTGAACAAGCTTATTTTTAATGTCGTGTGTGCTATCTCTTGCTTTTCTACTGACTCTGATCCATCTTACGTTTTTCTTCTTTGTGTCATCTACCAGCTGTCAGATTGATTTTTGGTGGTGTTTTGCTATGTCCCCCAGTAAAAAGCGACTGACTGGAAGCCATCTTGGAGAAAAGTCAGCTGAGCCTGGAACTCAGAACAGCTCTGGGCTCCATCTAGCAGCTCCTAGAGGCAGGGTGAGGCTGCTGAGTTTAATTCAGCAGGAGGTGCATGGAGGGATACAGGCTGGAAACAATGGGATCCAGCCTCACAGCCAGAAACCAGCCTGAACATCAGCAAAACTAAAGATGCAGGCTTTCTGGGATTATTCACTACCTCTGCTCTAAAGCTACAGCTTTACTCAGCTCAGATATGAACTCTGTCTGCACACTTACCTACCAGTGACAGCAGAAACATGATTTGGAGTGGCCTCTTTTTTCTAATTTTTTTCTTTTTTTTTTTCTTATTTGTTCTTGTTTTTATGAGTATGAACATGGTTTCTAGTTCTGTTGTTGTTGTGTTCTTGTCTGTATTTTTCCCTTCTTTCTTGCTCTCCTATCTGAAAGAGTTTGGCCCTAGAATAAATTACAGGACATTATAGTGGTGGAAGGCCAAATTGGGGATGTTTACCCTGATGGTCACTTCCTCTTTTCCCTGTTATAACTTCCTTTTTCCTCTCTCAGTGCTCCCAAAGAAAATTCCAATCCTTGGGGCTGGAGATTTAGCTCAGCGGCATAAGCACTTGCCTTGCAATTGCAAGCATACAATTGCATGAGTTTGATCCCCGGTATCAATTAAAAAAAAAAAGAAAATTCCAATCCTCGAGCTTCATCAATACCTGCCCTAAGCACCACCTACGCTTAAAGGTTAAATATACCCCATACCCCCATATCCAGGCAGAGGAGAAAGCCAGAGCACTGTTGGTTGTGGGCTCCTCTCCACATCCTTGGAATAAAGGCCACTTTTACTTTTTCTTATATTCTGCTCCTTTATTGCACTGAAAAACTCTAACACTATCTTCTTCACCAGTTTCCCAAAGTTTGCAGAATCTTCCTTTGTCCCCTAGCCTTAATTCTAATCTCTTCCTCTTTTTCTATTTTTCCCCTTAATCCCTTTTAAGTTTTGTCCCTGAGGGCTAAATAAATATTGAAATAAGTTATTTCAACAAGAAGATAAGTCAGTAAAGAAACTTATGAGACACAAGTTATACCTAGCATATAGAAACACTTCAATCTGGTAATAATTCTGCAGAATTTAACATTTCTGTTAAGATACAAATTATAATTTCTTAAAAGCACTTATAGACATAAAGATTAACTAGTAATTTTAACATATTGACCTATACATAATTTTTACTTTAATGTAATAAAGCAAGCTAAATATACTTGTAAATAAATAAATGTAATCATAACGCAGTTCTGATATTTTATGATTTTTGTTGTTTACACTAATTAGCAATGTTTAGTAAAATGGTAAATATTCATTAGCATAAATTAAGAACATTTGTATTAAGTGTTTCAGATTACACATAAATTTGGTAGCTTCTAAACTGATGCCAAATGCTCTAAATGTTCAAGCAACATTTATTGCTTTCTGAGTAACTTACTTTAATAGAAAAATTTTATTGCATATATGAGATATAATTAAAGTACAGGCTAAGCAAGTTAGCTTTAGAGGAATTTTGTAACAGAAAATGTATAAATCTTGCACTTAATCTTCTTCAGTGTTTTAAGCAGTATTTTAGGTTGATCAATACAAAAATAAGGCCTACCAAATAAATAAGAGGCGTTACCTCTTTCCATTGTAATTATTAATACAAATTAGGAAATAATAGCAAAATGGAACAGAAAGTGAAAGTCAATGAACAGAATTCAGTCATGCTAATAAAATGTGTACTAACAATAATCCATAGTACAAGTGATTTTTAAGTAGAAGCTGGAGGAACTATAGCACTCAAGTTTAGTGGAAAAACTTCATAAATGGTCATTAACGAAATGAATTATGAAGATCTACTTTGGCCAAAGCTTTCCTTTGTGACAGGAGTATTTCCATGAAAGCAAAATGTTCCAGAGCTTTGAGAACAACTATTTATTGCATTTACATGATTAGAGGTTATTGGCAGGCTAGAACTGTCTTTGTTGTACAAGATTAATCAGATGAGTGTATTTCAAAGCCAGTAATTACTGAAGTTTTAATTTGGTCTGCTTCCATGGACTCTCTGTATGTTTGCTAAGGCTGCTGTGACAAATTCTGCAGGCTAGGTGACTCTAACTGAAGTGTATTTCCTGGCCTAGGGATATAGCTCAGTGGCACAGCGCCTGCCTGGGAAGTGCAAGGTCCTGAGTTTGATTCCCGATACCAAAACAAACAAAGAAGAAAATGTATTTTCTTACAGTTTGGGAGGATAGAAATCCAAGGGCAGGGCTGGTTTCTTTCCAAGGCCCTGTCTTGGCTGGGAATCCACCTCCTTCCCTCTTCCCCCTCCTCTGAAACAGGGTCTTGCTGGTCTTCAGCTCATGTTGTAGCCCAGGCTGGTATTGAACTTGCAACAATCCTCCTGCCTCAGTCTCTCTAGTGCTAGGATTACAGGCATGCACCACCATGTCTGGCTTCCTCCTTTTTCTTTATGTGGTCAGGCCTGTGTCTGTATTCTACACTTCTCTAAGGATGCCAGTTGTATTGGAGTTGAGCCTGCTCATATGACTTGGCCTTACCCCTTCATTATTTCTTTAAAAGCCGTATCTTGAAACACACAATCTGAGGAAATGGGGGCTTGGCCTTTATAAGAATATAATGGTTCAGGCATAACAGATTCATAATCCTTTGGACTGTAATTTGAATTCTTATAAACAACAGATTCAAAAATAAAATATGTTCAGCTACAGCAGTACTGATAGTCTTGCATACAGGACATTACTACTCCTCACAGCAGTGATAACCTATCACTGTATACTTGATTAATAATCTATCACTATATACTCTATCAAAGTGATTCTACTCTCAGCAAATCTGGGTTTTAAACTGGCAGGATCCCGTGTCTGATTTCGTCAAAATCATTTATTTCCAGCTTCATGTTCCATTTAGAGAATCTGTCTGTGATAGGTTCCCAGCTGCCATAAATGTGAACAGCCAGGGCCCTACCTCCAGGAGGCGGAGGGAAAAACAGAAGTGAGCAGTGAAAGTCAGGATCAGGTGTGGCCTTCGGGAGAGTCTTGAAGTATCACTGCATTTTGGAATGGTCCATCTGGGGGAGAGGAGGGAGAAAACTTAACTTACAGGCTGCTCTTTGTGCTGTACCTCTTTGGTTGAAGTTTATCTCCCAAGTAGGGTTGCTAGATTTAGGAAAAGAAGGAAAAAAAAGGGCCATCCCATACTTTCAATATAAATATATTAAGAAGTCACTTGCTTATCTGCAACTCAAGTGTATCCAGCTTGTGTGTCCCCACTGTCATCCAGCAGTGCCAACAGGCGGTCTGCACAGAGCTTACACATAGTCTGTGCACAGGGGGAGGCGGCAGTTGTGGCCACAATTCACGATGCGCTGTGGGATTGCGGTGGCAGCAGTGGGGCCTGTCTGGGAGGACAGGGTCCTTCCTGAAGGCAAGGCAAGAATGAGGAGAGGGGGAAAAAGCAGGAGGCCAACAGAGCTGGCTTTGTGGATGCGAAATAGTAACATGATTTCCTGTAATAGGACATGAATCTTTATGTCTGTTTTATATGTATTGTAGAACATAATGTACCCTGGAGATTTAGTAAGAAATGACAATATTCTGTGATTAGGGAGCTTAGAGAAGAGTCTGAATATTGTGTGTCTAATTTTAAAATGTATAGTTGGGCGTAGTGGTACACACTTGTATTTCCAGCACTCAGGAGGCTGAGTCAGGAAGATCTCTGTGTTGGAGACAAACTTGGGCTACATATTGAGTTCTAAGCCAGCCTGAAATACATAGCGATTACCATCTCAAAACAAAAACAGAAACAAAACAAAACAACCCCCCAAAGCAATAAAATAATTTTAAGAGTAATCACCTCATTAAATGGAGGCTTTTTCAAATGATTATTTTGGTAAAATCAACTCCTCCCCAAACAAAAACAAAATCAATCATTAGTTCCTGTATGCTTCTGAAAAAATAGGGAAACAAGAATTAAGATATGTCCAAATGCTGACTTCCCACAATGAATGTAACCATTATGTACTGCAAATATGTATGCACTAACAATAATTTTAAAAATTAAAAAATAAATGGGAAAATATGACATCATCAACTACTGGACTTATTACTAAATAAAATAAAAATATACTTCTATGCATTTCAAAAGAGAAGTTAAAACATTAAATATTACTCTTTATTTAAATGTTTATAAGGCAGCTCTATGGGAAAGATACAAAAACATGGCATGTAATTTGATAGCAGTATTTTGGAGATTACATAGTTTTAGCAAATATGAATTACATAGTTACAAAGGAAACAATATTTTTTCCAAGCAAGTACAAAATATCTAATGAAAGTTCAAAGCAATAAAATGAATCCAATTAAAATGGAAAATTGATTTTGATATGAATTGCATATTATCCTTAAAAGCTTTTAAAAGAATCACAGTTGTCTATTACACAAACAGTGCTGAATTGGGATCATGACAAAGAACTGGAGAAGTAATAGAGGATTATGTTGACCGTGGAACACACAGACTCACTTAGAATGGCTTAAGTGTGGGACAGAGGCAGGAAGTGACCAAGCCACCGGAATCTCTCTTACATTCTCATTTTCCTTCCATAGGGTGTGGCTTTGACCTTTCAGGACAGGCATCACAGCTCCAGTTGTATCCATGACCCCACAGCAAGACAGATGGACAATAAAGAACACACTGATTTCCACTGAGGACCCTTGGCTTCACTGGCCAGCTTCACGCCACGCACAGGGACAGCTAATGCAAGGGTGGCTGAGGACAGGAAGGACAGCAGTGTTGACAGAGAAAGGCAAACAGATGCCATGGGGCAGGGTCTGTCTCTGCGTCTGCTGGGCATCTGTAAAGCTATGAAAACTTTTACAGAAAAATCTCAGTGAAAACATCCTCATACCTGGTGGTATGGAAATCATATAGGTGGTGATGAAAATATGCAGTGAATGCTTAAATTTAAAAAATTATTACAGTAAAGGATATACAAAGTACTCCTTTTACAAAGTAATTTCAATACAACACATTAGGCTTCCTAAATACTTAATGGAGGATGTTACACACTGATACAGGTATGATTAGTTCAGCGATTACAGCATTCTCAACAAAATACTTAAGAGTTACATTCACGGTATTTTATCTAAAATACCACCTAAGAAATTTTAAATTTCATAAATAAGCTTCTTTTGGGGGAGGTCTATACAGAATTATGAAATACTTTAATGGCAAAAGGCAAAACAAATGGCATTTTACCATTACATAGGAGATAACATACAAAAATTGGATATATTCTTGAAGCCCTTTTACACAAATAATTTTCATAATTTGACTAGCGTATGAATAGACCTTGTTATGATTATCAAGTTAATTTTGAAAATACGATTTTCTAATCAACTCAAGCTATGCTAATTTATAAGAAATTACTCAGGTAGTTAACACTAGAGCTCATTAGATACCCTGTAGCACAAAATAATTATCTCTGATAAATAACTACAAATATAATTTATTCACATTTCTAAATATTTTAAAATTTAAATAAAAATATCATGTAGATTATCTGAGCTAACTTTTTTAATGTCATAAAAATAAATGTTAGCATGAATAAATTTATATTGAAATGTGACTTTAAATATTTTTAATAGAGGAGACATGAAATTAGTACACAAAAGCTAAGTAGCATGATACAGCTAATGGTTCTTTTCCTTACAGGAAAAACGCACTGTACCTGATTTTCTTTGCATAGGATTAACACTGGGTATATTTTTTACAGTCTTACAACTTCTCAGGGACACTTCATAGAACATAGCTCTAGAAACAATCTCTACTCTTAAAGTTCCCCTGACATGTGACAGCCACATGTACTTCCTGACATGTGACAGCCACATGTACTTCCTGACATGTGGTAACAGCCAAATTCAGTCCTACTTCTGAGGCCAGCAAAATGGTTTAAAAGTGATAATAATAATAAACAATAGGACAAGAATCCCAGAAACGGTAAAACAAAGCAATTAAAAGATAACTGTAGAGCTGCACTTTTAGAAAGGCTTTTAAGCATTTAGAATTATAATGGATATGCTAATTTCAAAAGGAAATATTGCCACTTGAAATAACATTTGCATCTTTTACATATTTTCATAAATTTGTTTTTTTATAGGTCCTACTTATTCATAATAATGATAGTTTTACTTATATCACTGGTTACTTATTATATACATATGACAATATTTTTTGATAGTCATCTAACTTGTAGAAATACTACATTGTATTTTCACATTAAATGGTTAAAGCATGGAAATTTAAGGAACAAGTATTGAAAATCTGCTGTTATTTTCACTATTCCATGATAATAACACATTTAGGTATTTTCCTTAAAGGTTATAATCCAGCTGAAACTAGCAAGTGATTATTGAGAGGGCAGAGATTTAATTGACATTAAATTAAGTGGAGAGCTCAATTAGAAAGTAGAAGATACTATATTTACCACCAAGAGCACATCAAAGAATTATGAGTGATTTACTGGAAAGAAATTGCCACAGTATGGAAAGAGCCACTGGTGGAAAGGTGGACTCCACCAAATAAAAGTCCTGTTTCCCGCAGCTAGATTAAATTAGTGAAATGATATAATTTGAGAAACAGAGATGCGTATAATTATATCTTGTCTACAACTTTCTATCTTAATAAGGAGCAAATGGAAACAATGCAGCACATTACAAGGTTTGAACCAAGTGCATTTTACATGTGCAGTGTTGCCACTGAGAAAGTTTATGAAAAGTCTGTAATGATTATATCTCTTTAGAGTAAATTTATAATTAACCACTTATTTTAATGCCCTTTACGCTAATAAACTGCTCCCTAATGAATGGCTGTGCAGGCAGGAGAGTTCCTCAGGAACAGGAAAGGAGGTGACTGACTGCAGTATAGGTACTGCTGAAATGAACACAGAACATGACGGATTTCACTAAAGATCTGCAGGTCTTGGCAGTTTGTTAACACTGCCAGCGCCTGTTTCTGCCTGAATTCTTCACTGGATAGGAGATGGACGGGCTGTCATGGGGTCTGGGCTTATGTTTAGGCCAGACCAGGGTAAATAACCATGGGCCACCACAAGCAATAGTAAATGTAATCCTGGGCTATTTTATGTGTCTTTTGATGCACACTGCCTGCTCTATCGCTTTGCATGAAAGAAGCTTCCAGACTGGCATCATGAACAGACCGCATGGGGATGAAGCAGGGCTCAGGGCTTCCAGGAGGTGGTGTTGGGATTTAAAAGCTCACTCTGCCTCTGACTGAGTAACCTGGGGGACTCCCCTTTCTGTCCTTCAGCTCCTCTTATGTAAAGTAAGGATAACTATCTCAGGGATTTAAGTATTACAAGGGCGGACACAAGTGAAATGCTTAGAACCATGCCTGGTGCATTCTTCTGCCCAGCTGAACATCAGTAAAATCCTTGCCACAGAGAGCAGTGCAGCAACAAGGATCAGCTATCAAGTAACCCTGGATGTAAACCCGACACTTTCCTCACAGAAAGATGACACCATTCCCAGGATTGGTACTGTGTTAAAGGTATTGATTTTGGAGGCCATATTCCTGAGTCCCTTCCCTGATGAACACACTACGAGGAATGAAACTGCTCGGTAACATGATAAATAGTAAACTCTCTCATGAGCCGTGCATTGTCTGTATGTGTTTTAAGTATCAGTGCATTTCAAATATAATCTCAGGTTTCTCTTTTTAAATTTGGATTTGTTCATATAATCATATTGCTTCATAAAAGTAATAACCTTCTTCAAACCCTAACACATGAGAGGAGTACGGGACTGTTACCATGCACCCTTATGTAGATGCTAATGTAATGTGGCCTTTTTAAATAACCTATGATATGCGTTTCTATTTCTTAAGCTGAGTAATACAACCTTGCTGTTGCTTCATGGGAAGTACAGTGTATCTATTAAATTATATTCAAAGTTTCAAATTCTGCTTTGTGAAGTGTTTTTTTGTTTAACATTTTGTTACATCTAGATTATTAACTCCTAAATATTCTTGCTTATGAAATACAGGAAAGTACCAATGGTGTTAAGTTGTGCAAAACAAGACAAAAAATACTTAAATTTCAACAATATGTTGAAGACAAAAATCTTAATTGGTAAAATAGACGCCTGTGACAATTTGAAGACTATTCTGTCACTAATTTAGTTACAATCCCATTTAACAGACTTCAAACCACAGTAATTTTACACATAACAACTGAATGAAGAGGAAACCATAAAAACAACGGCACGGATAGAACTTCCCATGGCCTCCGTGGGCACCTTTGTCATCACATTACTGTGACCCTCTCTGGGGAAAGATGAGGAATAGTTCCTCTAAGACCTTCTTCGAGAAACTGGCTCTTTTCCCAGCCCTTTTTAATTCTCTTTAGTTTTCTGTTTATACATGGAAGGAATAAAACGATCTTACCCAGAATTACAACTGAGGGCAACACAAGTGCGAGAACAAAATTTGGTGGCGTATAAAATCTGTAGTACTCTTCTTCAAAAGCTCGTTTCCATCCATAAATCAGAACATGGAAAGTACTTATGAGCAGAGCAACATACCCAAGGGTAGACTTGGTGCAGGGAAAGAAGAAACAGAGTAAGAGGTAAGTTAATATTCACGAAATTAAACTATTCAAACATACTATGTTTATATTTTGATAAAGCTATTTTTTCTTAAACTGCTAAGCTCCTTGTCTTCTACTGTATTAAATAATTTTCAGCCATTTCTTTCATATCATACATACATATATATACTTAATGTTCACTTGTAGTTATTTCACAGGAATAAGGCCAGATTGTCATTTCATAGTCTATTTCACTTATTACATCAAGAATATTTTTGTCATTAAAATTGAAAATCTGTTAATATATTTAATTAAGTGGATGTACAGAATTTAGTCATTCTTTTTTGTTGATCATCTACTTTGTTTCAAATACTCTTTAACTATACATAGTGTCACTTTAGGCCTTTTTCTATATTTTATTTTACTTCCTTGAGATTGATTTCTACCAGTGGCAGCACTGATCAAAACACTTTTTTTTCTTTTTTTTTTGAGACAAGAGTCTCCCTATGTAGCCCAGTCTGGCCTTTAACTCAGTGATGATCCTCTTGCCTCAGCCTCCTGAGTGTTGGGATAATAGGTATACACCACCACATACTGCCGTCTTGTTTTTTCTTAAGTATATTGATACAATTTTAAACTTCTTTATAAAGGTTATCCATATCCCCACTGACTGTATATAAAAAGTTACCTACACATATATAATATATATAATGAAATGTACATAGGGACATTAAATGCCAAAGAGCATTCTCATGGATATACACATAATATATATATAGTACAGGCATATATATGCTACCTGAATTAGTAGAAAATACACAAAATTCTGTCATATTACTGTACAGTATAAATAGCAATTCAAATGTGACTTTATTAACCTTATTAAATGAGATCATTAAATATTTCAGTTGAGCAGTACATAGATTAAATTCTGAAGATCAGCATTTTTCATTTCCATAAACTATTATGTCTAAGACTGCTTACTATGAGAAATGGTCTTACATAAAAGTAATATTATACTAGTATTATGTAACATTTTAACTTCATTAGGAAAATGTAAATTCTCCAGTAGGCAAAATGTTTGCAGTTACTCATCTAAATTTACAGCGATAATATGCATCTGTCTAGCACCTTTTATCAGGGGGCCTTCTATTTTTTTTAGGTGTGATTACAGTAGCAGCTGAAAAAGTATTCACAGTCTCTTTCCACAAAAAAATAATGAACTTAGAAAAGGGTTATGTGCATAATTTGAGTAAAAAATTTTTTACATGACTTCCACAAAACAAAAAGCTCAAAAAATAGATAAAAAACAAAACAAAACAAAACAAAAGCTTACTATGCCACCAAATTACATAATCCACATATTGTGTTGTAAACCATTTGGATATGCAATCAATACCTATTTTGTGACCATATAGGTAGAATCTAAATTTCAATTACATATTTTTTAAATATATGAATGTATATAGATACTAATGGAAAAAAAATGAATGTTTAATTTTTAAAGGAAACACTGTGCTCTGAAATCCCTTTGTGGACACACCTATGACTGATATACGAAACACACATACTAACAAGATTCATAGGACTGGCTGCTTATCAATGTCCACTGGCCACGGATATTGACTGTCATATACGCATACACACATTTCTATTTTTTTTAACATTTCTTTAAAATATTCATAGTTAGCTTTTTTCCCCTTGAATTAAAATTGGTGAGAATTTTTTTCCTGGAAAGATCAGATGACTTAATATATAGTATTTCATTACTTTTGCTAAAAACAAACTCACTTTCAGCATTAAATTTGATCTAAGCTCACTCTTCTCCCATTTTTTTTTTCTTTTAAAAAAATCTTTGAGGTAGGGACCCCACTGACACAGCAAGGTACCTGTGGTGGCAGCAGTGACAGGGAGAGGCACATGGCCGGACCACACCAAGCAGGGATTCCGTAAGACCCAGGCGTGGGCACACACACCAGTTGTTGGTAAGTCAGATGAACCAGTGCTGTGCTTTGGCACACAGACAGGTGGACTAGAAGAGGGTAGGTGGGGCCGTCATTCTTTCCATATATATATGCCAAAAGGCTTGGAGAACACCATCCTGAATCCCACAGCCAGAGACCGTGGCCGGCCCTATACCCAGCACAAGTCCCACTGCAAAACTGGCTGCAATACCCAACACATTTCTGAGATGAAACTGCAAATACCAGAGGAATTTTATTCTGTTTATTTTTCTATGTTTGATTGATCGGTTTTTCTTTTTCTGTCCAGTTGAGGTTTTTTTAAAAAAATTTAGCCCTCTTTATCCTCTCTCACCTCCACCAGAGTAAAATCATTCCACTAAAGGGAAAATCACTGCACACAGGTTCCTAGTATATGCTTGATTCTGTTACACAATGGTAGAATTTGCTCCTATGGTTAAAAGTATCAGGCTAATAGTTACCACAGTTTCTCAGTAGCCAGGCCACACTTGAGACTATTGTTACTGTTAACTGTACTACTTTAGCCAGAATACCATACCTGCTATAATCAGTTTTGCTCTCCATATGGCACTGTGATTGTGTGGGGTCATTACCATCACTCATGCATTCAAAAGAAAGATTTGTGCAATATTATTTGGACAATATTTCTTGCCTATATCTTTTACTCTGAATAACTACTATAAAGATAACAATATGCAGTGTATTAATTATTACTGTCCCACTAGCCTGTTTTGAAGCTCTATTTTATTGTTATTTTATTTTTTTCTTTCTCTCTTCAAAATATATTAAAAAAAAAATCTTCGTCCTTAACACAGTAGACAGTACTGTCGAAGTCTGCAGTACAGTGATGCACTGGTCTTTCACTTATCAGAGTGTCCTTAACTGGCTTTCAGCAGTAGGTGTTCTCTGACCTAGTTGTGTAAGTCTGACCTTTTTGTAAGTACTGTAGCATATTTAAAATTAAACTCACCTAACAATCAAATCTACCTTGCCCAATCCCTTACGAAACAAAACCCCACATACCTGAATAAAGCTGAATTCCCTCCAGTTTAAAGCATTGCTCACTGAAGGGATGGAAGTGACTGCCAGAAGGGAAAGCAAGCCAAGGCTCATTATGCCAAAGGAGATGTACATTTCAATCCTCCACACCTCCTCCTCATTCCAAGAGTTTTCAATATTTGCATGAACCTAACAAGAAGACAAATGTGAACATTAGCTGATTCGGGACAGAATTTATTCTGGCATAAGAACAAGGTCACAGTTAGTTTAAACTTGATTATTTTGAGCCCACTATAGGCTCATTTTTAAGCTAGACTCTTGGTAGGAAGTTTCGAATGCTACTTTAGAATCTTTCTTTCTCACATGTATAATATATGTGCTGATTTATCTCCTTCTTCCTAATTTGTATTCCCCACTGGAATTTTCTGAAAGATAAACCACTATGGAATCAATGTATTTACCCACTTGAACTGCTTCATTAACAAACTTTCAAACTTCAGTTGTGTTATTCAGATGTAATATTTTTCCAAATGTCTTCCCATTACATCGATAATACATATATAATCAACTCAGGATTACCTATGAATTATGGTAATTTCTGTAGAACTATACTCTAAAAATGTCTACTCACAAACAATAAAATTAGAGTATATATCAAGGATTGGTCTTCTTCAACTGAAGTTGTTTTAAGTATTCACAGAAATACGTCCTTAACACCATCTTAAGTTTGCCCATTTGCAGTCAAGAAAACATAACTGAAATTTTTTAAAAAGCTACTTCTTAGTCTTAATTCCCTAAAGCAATCACAGCAACATCCTGGAAGAGTTCGCAGAGCACCTCTATTAAACAAGTCTCTCACTGTCTTGTTCCATATCTACCCAACAATTCAGAATAACAACATACCCTGGCACAGGCTGAGACTACAGCCTGAATCTACTTTCACTCTGAGTTTATTCATCCACCTCCCTGGCACGTAAGAATTTTCAGTGTCTACTGTGTCTGACACAACTGCACACACCAGCCACATAGTGGTGAACAATAGGAACAATGATCATTCCTCTCATAAAGTGAAATTCCACAGAAGGCAGTAGATAAACAAGGAGTGCCTCGGGGTGCTAAGTGATCCTGAAAAGAGAGCACAGTGGGACAAGTGAGAGGGCCTGGGTGCTCTACGCTGGTCACAGGTAGATGGCTAATTCAGTGTTCAGTGGAGGCCTTGCTGAGAAAATAAGATCTGAGCAAGTGATCAGGATGTGGGGAGGCTGAGTCAGCAGACATCAAAGCCTTAGTAATTCAGTGTTTCCAGAGAGTGAACAGCTTAATGGAATCAATCTAGTGACTTTTTAAAAAGTGTTTTAGGTTTTATTGTGAAAACAGCTTGATTATTACAAAACTGGCCTACAATGAGTTGGCACCTTAGAAAATTCAAATGCTTCTGCGTATTTGTTTAGATGTGATGTCTTTGGCTTCTATTAAGAAATGCTACATCAAACAGCTCTGGGAAGCCCTTAATTTACACTTGTGGGAGGGGATGTGATAAACCCCAGTCTACATCTTCGTCAAGCCTCTTCTCTAAAGCTATTGCTGAGATCTTCCTGGGGACCTAAGTGGTGGGAAAGCTTCACCAGAGGAACAAACCTTTTTACACTTTGATAATAAGGGCCTTGTAGCAGTATCTCCTTTTTCATTGTATCAGCAATCTCAAAACCAAGATAGAAGCTGCTCACACACACTTAGCTCACACTGTGTACTCTACTTTGTTCTCCTGATCTTGATTTTCTATTTTGTCTCATATTTTCCCCAATTCTAATTTTATCATATATGTTTACTGAGAGTTACCTTATCATTTTGTGGCCCATGGCCAGTTATAAGACATTAAAATAATTAATGTTAATCTAACATTAACGATGCTGTTCAAAGATCACTCTTCTCATGCTCATTGCAATAAAGGATTAAAAAAGTAGGGGAAAAAAATGCCAAAACACCCTTAACTTCTCTGTCTTCTATAAAGAAGGGGATGGGAGATGCTTCTGTCTTTAATGATCTGAATTAGCCACATCTCATGCTAAAAGATTTAAAAAACAAGTGTTTCCCCTTCCTAAACCTGCCAAAAGTAAATTTCCATTATGAGTGTTACGGTTTGTGTCTAGATATTCCCTCAAAGCCTCATCAGTCATAGGTGTGGCTTCTTCAGAGGTGGCTGAATCTAGAGAATGTTACTGATTCACAGTGCAATGCTAGAGTTAAGGTGGGTGATTACTAAATCAGTGCACTGGTTGGTTTGGCACCGCCCTAATCCCAGGAGTCTGTACACAATATAAGGGACAGAAAGGGGCTTCTCTCTCCTTTTGCTCTTGCCGCTCTATTGTCTTCTGCCTGCCTTGAATGGTTGCTCCTCTGCCATGTGTCACCCTGCCTTGGAGTCAGCTGATTATGGACTGAAACCTCTATGAATTATAAGCCAAGTAAACATTTCTGCCTTTACGATGGGGGTCAGGTATTTTGTCTCAGCAACAAGAAAGGTAACTAAGACAATGAGATATATAAAACCTTATGCTATTTAAAATATTATGTTTTATACTTTTTGTTAATACAGTATTTTACCAGAGTCAGATAAAGTGATAAGAATATTCAGTACCTGCTGGTAAGCCATGTTGAGAAACAAGTATCTTTCTGATCTTCTCATTGGTAAGCAGAGGCTGTAGGCAACATGCACAACAGTGAAGAAAAAACTTAGTAGTCCCAGCTGTTTCCTGCACTGTAACCAGGTCTCCAGCCAGGGTGGAAATCTTCTATACTTGGTTCCATAGTAAAGCTGATAAGCAGCTGCCAGTAGGCCTGCTAAGTATACCAGGGACAACAAAGTGATGGCAACTATGGGCAAGGTTTTGTTCACAATCTCAATGGGAATCTTGTAAAAGTCACTTTGCTGGCTTCTTGCGTATGGATGTATCACATCTCTGACAAAGGAGTAAAGAAAGAAAAATGTGGCCAAGCTTATGGCTACCACCACTGGCCCCCTCCAGAGAGTAAATAGTCGCAGGGGTAAATTTTCGATTTCCCTGGCTGACGACAATGATCCCAAGTCAATAGGAACGAAATTCAACTGACGAGCAAGTTCAATAACCTGCTGTCGAGCTTGGATGTTATTGCTGCATATATAGACCTGTGGAAGACAAAAAAGATGCATCATTGCTATGCTGTTTGTAAAAATGACAAATATTGTACACTCTATGTAGTCTATGGTGCATCAGTTGTAACGGCCTTGGGCAACTGCATGATTGAAGTTAAGGAGAGAGCGCATTTATTAACTTACATACTTACTATTAATAGATTTAAAATAATGTTCTAAGAGCAAAAGAAGTCCTTGCCACTTGTGATGACATGAAAATCAACTGCAAGAACATTTAGCTGCAACCTGGGATTCTATGTGTTGAGATTTTATGCCTTGAAAGTAAGTGGTGGGCTGGAGATTTAGCTCAGCAGCATAAGCACCTGCCTTGCAAATGCGCAGTCGTGAGTTTGATCCCCGGTACAAAATAAAAAAAAGAAGTCAAATGGTTATCAAGACCTGACAGATAGCATATAATGATACAATGCTTCCATCTGTTGCTAAGGAATCCAATAAACTGTTTTCATAGACAAAATCACAGTACTCAGGAGCTAAGATGAGGATCACTGCAAGTGTAAGACCAGCCTGGGCTACTTAGTAAGTTCAAGGCCAGTGTGAAATACACGGTGAGACCCCATCTCGAAAAAACGAAACAAGAATTATTATCATGTTTAATTTGAGCATGTGAGCACACTTTTTATGACTTTTAAGATACACTGTTTTACGTACTGCTATAAGCTCACTCCACAGAGGCACTGACAGATCTTCCCATCTGCTTCATTCTTAAGCTGAATGGGAGAACTATCACAGGCTTTTGTGCTGTAAACCTAAACAAATCTACGAAATCTAGTTTGCCTCCACTTGCCCCACAGATAAAATCACTTAAAATAAACTGTACCATTTGATACTCTATGATTATTTACTGTATGTAAAATAAAAAGGTTTGCTTAAAGTATTCTTGCTGAGAATCATGTTAAATAGTATTCATCCAGAGACAGGGTACAGTGTTCCCAAGCAGCAGCAAGGAAGGGAGAAAGGGAACAAGGGAAGGAGAAAGGGAGGGAGGGAAGTAAAGAAAGACAGAAAAGTAATTATTTTTCTTGTTTCTACTTCTGAGGAGACCAGGAGAGAGTCCAAGCAATGTGTTGCGCTGTTTACCAAGCAACCATGCCTTTTTTATAGCTGGTTAGGACAGACAAGATCATGGTGTTTTCTCAGTTTTCTACATCATTTTGAGAATAGGATGGATCCCCAAAGAGGTCAGGATGTTACTCTTCAGATGCTCACACAGTTTTCAAAATAATCACTGAAGGGTGTCAGAATTTGGCTTTAATTATCTGATACTTGCTTAACTACAACACACCAGATAAATAATAAAATGTAAAACTACATACCTGGCGGCTGGCATCTTTAGGTCCTAACTGTAGTGCCCAAGCTGAGATGACGTTGAACCCTTTGACAACCAAGGAATCCGGGAATAGTGAGGCCAAATATTCAGCATTGGATTCTGGGTATTGGTTTACCTTCATATTATTGCTCACATCAATTAGGATTTTTCCCACAAGCAGATGTCGCAGGTCCCATAGGGAGGTATAATGTTCTCTATGCAGCGCAATAAATATGATGTTTGTTTTTGTTAAAGCATCTTCGTGATGAGTGACATCTACCACATGAGGGAAAAACTCAGATGCAAACTTAGGATTTCTACTCCCTATAACTACATGATAGCCACATCTAATAAGCCGAATGGTCAGGGATTTGGCAAAATCCCCACTTCCAATTACACCCACGGTGACTTTCCTTGCATCTTTGATACCATTTATGCCATTAGGCAAAAATGTTTCACTAAGGCTCTTGGGGCTTCCCATCATAGAGATTGATTCCATGCTATGAACTCTTCCAAGGGCAACAGGAATATCCTAGGTGAGAGACAATAAAATGTGCATCAGTTATCTATTACCAAACATTCAAATACTTCTAGATGTTATAATAATTCACTGTGTTTCTCAGGGTAAACTATTTGGGTACACTATAAAGTTATATAACTTAAAACACAACAAGACGCGATTTGTAAGCAAAAATGGATCTGTGGAGAAATTAACTTCACAAAGGTGCTCTTTGTGTGGCTTCTTGGATCTTAATATCCATATAAATTACCTGAAAATCTTGTTAAAGTGTTGATCCAGACTCAGTAGGTCTCCAGGGAGGCCCAAGGTTCTGCATTTCCTCCAAAGTTGGTGGTGATGCTGCTGGTCTGCAGGTCCTCCTTTGTCTCGCAAGTCACTAAAGCACAAAAGAGGCTAAAGTTTTTTTAGTGGATTGTATAGGGGCAGGTCTGAAACATCACCAAAAGTACTGAAAATGACCTTGATACCAAGAGATAGATCACAAAGCAAACAGAAGATGAAAAACTGCAGAACAATAATTTACACCAAAACTGTCAAGTTATTTGGGTGCTGTGGAGTCGTAAACTGTCCTATATACCTGAGTAGCTAGGGACGCTATCATTAAATGAAAGTAAGATAAATCAGCCAACCCAAAAATGAATCCTGGTTCTTAAATAATATTTTAAGAAAAATAGGTATCAAAGTATAACAACGGGTTAAATACCATAGACTTGTACCACTCACCTTATATCCTGTAACTTTTGATTGAGAAAGATAGTTCCTACAGAAAAGACTTTGGTAATGTATTTATGGTCTTAAATTACACAAAACCTATGAAACCTTTTCCATTTTCTGGCTGCAGAAACTATGATGCAATTATTTTCCCTGGAAAAAACTGTCAAATTATTTTTAAGTGACTAAAATCTCACATGTTCATATTTGTAATAATTTGGTCAAAAATACAAATCAGATTGCTATGAATCAGTATTACCGTTGGGTTTAAATGAAAAATACTATTCCAGTCAGTCTCCACTGCACCATTTTGTTCATGTTCACAGCAGATGTAGATCACTTCAGAGAATCTAGTGGATTTTATAGGCATGAGTGGAATATTTTGGGAAAACATGGTTTTTGCTAAATGAAATTTGAAACTATTGGAGTTAGGAAAAATTAGTAAGTTAGGAAAAAATAGTAAGTTACTTAACATGTCGCACATACTATGTTTCAACTCTATCCTGTGTTACTGAATCCACACAACCACCCCATGAAACAGATGTTACTATCATGCCCATTTTGTGATGAGAAAACTGAGACACACAGAAGATTATTAATTTTCTAGGATCCAAAGTGAGAAAGAGGAAGTCAGGATTATAACCCAGGCAGTCCAGCTGAAGCAAGTGTCACTGAATGGATGTAAGGAGTTTAAGACAGGATTTTGGCAGAATACTTTTCCAATGTGTGTAAGTACTATGTTTTCTGTATCTATTCTCTATTGATAAACATATAGGTCACTTCAAAGATTTTGCCATCATGAACTGTGCAGCTATAAACATGGGTATGCATGGACCACTCACTATACCATGATGTCTTTTGACAAGATACCTAAAAGGGAATAGCTGAGTCAAATGAAATTTCTAGTTCCAGCTTTTTGAGGACTCTCCCTACCGATTTCCACCAACAGTGTAGAAGGGCTCATTTACCCCTACAGCTTCTCCTCTCCAGAATTTATTGTTATTTAATGTCTTTATGATGGCCATTCTTCTGGACTAAGATGGGACCTCAGTCCCACTTCTGCATTTCTCAAATGGCCAAAGATACTGAATATATTTTTCATTGGTTTTTTATACTTCTGAGATGTGTTATTCATTTCAGTTCCAATTTTTCTTGATTGGGTCTTATTTGTATGAATGCATCTTAAGATCGTAATGTTAAGTGATATAAATCAGACAGACAAACCTATAGATTCCATGGTTTCTCTTATATAAGAAACCCCAAATACAAATAAAGGGGAAAAAAAGATAGATAAAAGGGTGATAGACTGCAAATGGGAATGGAATCAAGAGATAAAGAAAGAGGAAAGGAGAAGAGGGGGTGAACAAAAACTTAAAGAAAGGATTTTGGGAGTGGCTATGAAAGGTGAGGTGGGAGAGTTACAGTTATGCTTATATCCCTATGTTACTACTTCTTCCTTGGCCATTTCATTGCTCCTCAGCATTATGCAGTGATCTTAATGTCTACTTTAGACCCTGGAAAACCTATTACATATTTCCTTCCACATCTTTCAAGACAGAAGGGATGGTAAAATATTTGTAACTGCTCTCCCCAAAGCAGCCCTATATACCCAGAAGGCCACAGGCTTCAAGATACCAGAGTAGTACAAAACCATCAGTATTTTTCTGAAAATACTGTTGGCTTGTTGGGGAATCAGAAGCAGCTAAAGGATTCCAGAAGTTATGAAATCAATGTTCTTTTCACTTAAAAATTAAAAATGAAGTTACCAATTTTCCCACTCCCAATCATATACCTTATCTAAGGATAAAAAAAGATTACTAGAATCACACAGAAATTCAAGTATCTCTTCTAGGACTCAGTTGTGAGTTCTTCTAAGTATATAGCATAGCATCTCATGAGATATAAGAATTCAAAATCTTTAAATGGCCATGATGATCAAGACTCTTTCCAACTAAAAACTAAAACAAATATTACAAAGCAAATTTAAACTTCTGTAAATCGGAGTATTAGACAAAAATACATTAGGACTCAATAATATCACCTATCAACCCCTATTACACTATGCATTTTATACATATTAATGGGTTACTCTCGTCTAATATACTTGAACCTTATTCACACAGGATTCCCATTGCCAAATTCTGTGTGTATGTGTGGTACTAGGGATTGAGCTCAGGGCCTGGTGCATGCTAGGCAAGCACTCTGCCACTGAGCTATATCCCCAAGCCCTGAATGCCAAATTGTAATTGGACCCTTCAATAGCGTGAATGCGGCCAGGAAAAAAGTGACCTAACAAATGAAACTTGTTATAGTTTTAAGGATTGTAAAAACGTGTGTGTGTGTGTGTGTGTGTGTGTGTGTGTGTGTGTGAGAGAGAGAGAGAGAGAGAGAGAGAGAGAGAGAGAGAGACAGAGACAGAAACAGAGAGACAGAGAGAGCAAAATTTTTCTGAAACATGGTTTATTTATTTGTTTAAAGGCTATAATACCAGATGTTGTATACTATTTAATAGTCTATAGTGTTTTCATGTTGAATAGTTTAACTCTTAGATGTTGCAGAATACATATTATAACTATCTACAGATGAGGAAACGGAGGCTTCCAGAACTTTAGTGATATAGTAAAGATTCAAACTCAAGTGTTCTCCCCCATGCTTATTCTGAGATGGCAGAGTAAACATTACGTGGAGAATCTTTTTTTTTTAATTTATTTTTTTTTTATCGGTACTGGGGATCAAACTCTTGACCGCGTGTTTGCAAGGCAGGCACTTCTGCCACTGAGCTAAATCCTCAGCCCCTATGTGGAGAATCTTAAACCTGTTTAGCATTTTCAAATGCTACCCATACTTAGGCTTCCTATAAGTGCTAACTTTAGGTAAAATACAATCTCATTTTAGGATTGAATTCCAGCTACAAAACAAATAAAATATGTTTGAAATAATTCTTGGTTTTGGATGAAAATCAATCATCTGAATTTATTAATATTGTAAAACCAGACATGATTGGTCACTGTGTAATTTTTGAAGAATCCCCAGGAGCAGCCCAAGATGTTCTGGGAACTCTGCAGACATGGTCCAGTATTTAGAGGAAAGGAAAGAAGAAATCAAGAAGGGTTCTCATGTTACTGGACTCATTCGTACCCAGATCTAAAATCTAAGATCCCTGATCTACCAGTTATCTGGTGCTGACACACTGGAGCAAAAATCTCATCAATTTTCAATTTATTCACCTAGTATTTTGGATTATTTAGCTAAAGCCTGAGCTGAAGTTAACATTTGGGTCATCTGTGAAAATATAAGGTTATAAAAAATGACTCAACATCTGATGGAGGCCTGTCTCCTTAAGAATACTAAAAACCTTACATTGTGCATTTCCTTTGACAAGGAGTGATGTAACTCTAATCTCAAGGGATTAGACTGCTGTGGTTTAGCAGGAATTCATCTAGGCCACCATGTGCTCCTACATATAAAATAAAGGGCACAGGCTGACTCTCAAACATTGTACACTTTCATTAGGAAGAGACAGGTTTATTTGTAATAAAAATATAACAAAAGCTCCTAAATATGTAATAAGGAACTCGATTACATGGTCATAGGATATCCTGGAAAATGAGAGAAGAGAGTATCACATGGTGTTGGTTCCCTTGAAGTTATTCCTTCTTGTGTATGTGTATTAAAGTAATAAAACCATATTTACAAACTTACCTGTGACTCACACAGAACTGCCACAGATCAACTTAACAATAGTGCATGGTGAATACACATTCTCGCTTGAAACTAGTAAGTGCTGAAAGTAAACTTGTCTTTTTGTGAATTTACTTTAAAAGTACTAGAGCACTGATTCCCAAATAGCAATTAAAAAACAGATGGAGAGTGTAGAAAATTTTTCATGAAATGATTCAACTTAAAGAATTATCCTTTCCTCTGAGCCTGTGTCTTTCCTACTGTGGGTCATCACAATGTCCTTTTTGTTCAGAAAAGAATAGTGATAACAGTTGTTTAGGTTGGCAATCCTTTGGAGCTCTTTCTTTTTTATTTTCCCTGGTCTGTAAATCCAACAAGTCTGAGGGCTACTCTTTGACTTGCTGGAGGGAAAGCCTCTGTGGAGGGGGAACCCTTGCAGTATCTGCTTCCAACACTCTGAGGGAAGGGGTGCATTCTGCAGATAAAATATCAGTATACTGAACACATTTTTGGTATCAAGAAGGTGATTTTTCTATTACAAACTTTGGGTTGCATTACAATAATCTGTACTAAGATAATCTGACTTCTTGTTCCTCCCCACCTCCGCCAAACTCCCCAATCAGCGGCCTCGGGGAGGCCCCCCAGCAATCTGTTTAGCAAGCCCTCCACATGATTCTGACGTGTTGAAATTTCAGAACTACCCTAGTTTCCTGTTTGATTGAAGCTTAAAATACACTTAACTATATTCTTTCCCTCAGATGAAACTTGGATAATTTGAAAATCATTTTCCAAAATTATGGGTAAAATACAGTAGCAATTTTATTAAAACTTTTGTTGCAATTGCAAATGTTTATTAATATTTCAAACTTGGGTCCTACTGTCCTATGTTCATATTTTATAGAACCAAACCAACTGAAAACTTCTCAGAAAATGCAACACGATAAAGATGATAAATACTAAACTTTCCAGGATTCTCATTAAAAACTCCTCAGAGATTTGAA